CACACACACACACACACACACACATAGGATGAGCCATACTACTTCTGCTGCAGGATGAATCAACACTCAGTCCATCCTGATCAATACAGCTTTTAGCTTTGGATTTCACTCTCCTCACTATATTATCGGTTTGAAGCATCAACTAACACGGCTAGAAATTACATTAGAGAGTTTCCATTTATCAAAATATCTCAATTTTATAATAAATGAAGTGCAGATAAATATGTTTTGCATCAACTAATTTGTACGAATTTGTCCAAAGTTGAAAAAGGAAAATATTCATATAACAGATGCAGAGTGCTCGAGAGTTTGACTCACCCAGACACATGAGATCAGAAAACATCCTGTCTCCGCTCCCAGCCACAGCTCCAGCACTTTTCTTTCTCTGGAAGGAAAAGAGGTTGAGTTATTAGGAGCTCATGTGTCTTCCATCTATAACTGAAAGGTCTGAGACTAAATTTCAAGCTCAGGTTATTCCCCCCACAATTTGACTTTCACGCGATCATGCAAAGTATAGCCCTGTTGTTCGATCTTCAATCATCCTGTACGTCCTTCTCCCTCTTTGCTTTCTGTCCCGTCTTTTTCTCTTATAACAGGATGTTGGCATTCTATCACATGGTTTCTGGCCTTTCAGGAAAAGAACAGAGAAGTTTTGAGTGATTCCTTTTCTCTCCATTTCTCCCTGATCAGCGACTATTGATGAAGCAGTGGGTGTTGTGTCTTTCATTTTTACTGAGCACTGAATGAATCATCAAAAAGCAAGTGATGTTCACACACCAGTTGAGGCTCCCACCATTTCCTGTCTTCTGGTTTTCGTCACTTCTGTTCAGCACCTCGTTCTTATCAAGTTTGGATGTGCGAGGGGGCACATACTCTAGAACTAGTCTAGAACCTGTACTTTGTAACTGATGGGAGCCAGAGGAGGCAAAGCACAAAACTACCATTGATCATAACAACATTTTATCTCAAACTTAGTTAAAGCCACAAGATGATCATCTCCATCTTATCCAGAGAGGGATGAGTCTGTCTGGAACAAATGCAAGCACAGGCCTGCATCCCAGGAAGCATCTGTGTTGACAGTGTTGTTGTTGTAACAAAGAAAATAACTCTGTTTGGCTCTGTGTCTTCCCTTTGGCATCGGCGCACAGGGGAGACGTGGTGCAGACTGTTGGTGTGTGGGAGGACCAGCAGCCACTGTCAGCAAAACCGTTGCAACTGGCAGATGGAAAAGCCATACCTGTGGAAAGCCTTGACATGAGATGCGCCTCGAGCCATTTGTGTGTGTGTGTGTGTGTGTGTGTGTGTGTGTGTGTGTGTGGAAGAAAAATAACGAGACACCATGAAAACACAGAAAGTCCAGGCAGCTGGCAAAGACATCAAGCGATATCTGTGTGTGACTGAATCTCTGACAGTTTGTCTCTCGATACACTCAAGTTCCACCATTTTCTCTGTCACCGTGTCTTGTTACATGATGAACTGTTTGAAGCACTTCAAGTGTGACTTCTCCTCCATCTTCAAACAGAAGTCTCCTGCAGCCACTGCAAACAATACTGGTCTCATCCTCACATACTTTTCTCCCACAGAGGGTTTTCATATGCGCCACATATCTCTGCTCTGATTGGCTGGCCTCGAGGAAACTGAGGTGAGGGGTCACAGCTTGCAAAGTTTCGCCCTGTGGACAAACACAGGCTCAGACGAGTAACATTAAAGGTTGCATGATTTTTATGCAGCCATTAAACCCACATACTTATATTTATATATTAAAAATCTATACAAAAGACAACATAAATACAACCAAATATGAAGAGCTAGAATTAAGAAAATAAACTTTTTATTTTATTTTATTGGCTGATCCATAAATTGGTTGGGCTTGACATTATGCTACAACCAGATCTCTGTGAGAACTCCAGTCCTGCCATCATACTGGGCAATCGCTGGTAGACTTTACATAAATGCCATCAGTGCCAGAGAGCCCAACAAGCGGAAACACTTGAAGCTTGAGTCTGCGGTAGACCACAAAGCACCACGGTGCTATGTCCTCTTCATCGGGTGAGCCGAGCGACAGACGTTCCTCCTCCTGCCAGGAGCACAGCCAGGGCAAGGACTGGGCGGTGGTTTGATCACTCACTGTGTGTTTAATATGACTAAAATGCTCACTCAGCTCTGCCTCAATGAGCCTCTCTGTCCTGCACAGAGTTATAGAGGGTTGGCTCGTTCAAAGATAACACCACAGACCTACATGAGGTGTGGTGCACGTCGAGCAGCTGCTGGGATGCTGATGCAACACATCAGGACGTCAGTGATGTCACAGACGTCAGCTCCGGTTCACAGGTTCGTGCTCGCTGATTAGGTGCAGAGCACAGAGAGGTTCTGTGTTGGGCAGTCAACAGTCAAATGTTACCATTGACTCAACGCCACTACCCACTGACAGGCGATGGTGTCACTGCCAGACATTAACACACACATTTAAAGGGCAGAAAATGATACACCCCATTACATTTTTCTCCTGCGCTGTTTATATTTAACTCACTCTGCACTTATAACCATAAGTGCATCTGAGGTTTAAAGTTCAATCATGACCTTTGGAACATAATAAACACTACAAGGTCCATTTAGTAACTTTTACACATATGACAACTTCTTCAGTGGATGGAATTGACCAGTGGCCATGAAGGGGCCAAATTAACACAGATGTACAATTCAAGGTGCACATGAGTCGTGATTACTGTTTCTTTCTTAACAATTTGTGAATTTGTGACCCAACTCTTATTGTTAGTATTATTAGTAAGTGACTAGGACACGGGAACTTCAGGTGGCAATCAGGTTTCAGCAGGGGCTGATGCCCCCCCAGCCCTGCTCCTGGAGCTGCCCCTGGAGTTTACCCAGTAGAAGAAGCAGAAGAAGAAATGAAAAAACTCAATGAAAAGTGGATTCAATTTATCTGATGAAGATTATGTCATTTATTTGTAAGATCCAAATAACATGCAAATAAGGGGACTTTGGGATGTGACTGTTTAATCAACCTTATCAAAAAGTTTTATCCTCAAAAATACTAATAATTCACTCAGGTGATAATAATAAATAATCAATCACTGAATCAGCAGCACATGTTGAAATAACCTGCACAGACCTTCAGTATTTTAAACTTTCAACGATGTCTTTAAATTAAAACATCAGTTAGTAGACGTCTGATCTACAACTGTAGATCAAAGAGGCGAGCATGGCACCAGACACTGATCATCATCATCACCACCATCATCATCATCATCATCATCACCATCTTCACCATCATCATCATCACCACCATAACCATCATCATCATCACCACCATCATCATCATCATCATTATCACCACCATCATCATCATCATCAC